TGATTTGATTTGAAAAAATCAAATCAAATTCAAATTGCTTAAATATTTGATTCGATTCGATTTTGAGGAACCCTAACCATTATTACATGATGCTATAATTTTCATTTTTTTATTAATTAAAGGATCTGTTAAAAGAATTAAACAATTTGTTATCTGTTTTGCTTTTGTAAAAATCAAATCAGATCTAGTTTTTTTTAATACCAATTAATAAAGTTATCATGATTTTTATTTAATTTTTTAAAAAAATTGAATTTTAAAAAAAAAAAAATAAAAATAACTAAAAAATCATTTTAATTTATAAAATTTAAAAATTGATGATTCTCAATTTCTCTTCTTTTAGAGAATCATCAAATTTGGCAGGTTCCCATAGAAAGTCTGCTAAAATAATGATTTTTTCTTAGAGAATCATTATTTTTAACAGGTTCCCAGAGGAGAGGGTTACAGAAACATGTAGTGTGGTTGGTTTTTTATGGTATATATGGTATAAATTATTCCATTGTATGGGTAAAATTTTTAATTATATATGTATGAAAATATAAATGACTTTATACTATATTTTATTTTTTATTATACAGAATAGCAAATAAAAAAAATTTAAAATAGACAATATTGTCTAAAATATAAAAAATCAATCATAAAAAATTAAAATTTAAATAATAAGATACATGTTATTTTATTTTAAATGCTATAATTACTTTAAAAAAGCATTTCGCAATATAGTTCTATTACGAAAATGTATCTAACTCCACAAGTATTATACTTAGCTTTGTAAAAATCAAGAAGCAAATAGTTTCGGACCTGCTGAAAAATATTACTTAAGAATACTTCGGGTGTTTCCTTTGAAAAAAAGACCTCAAAATACGCTCTGAAGTTACAAAATGGATGAAAAAAAATAAAAATAATTCAGGAGTCAGTATCATTATAAAAAACGCAAATAACTCTACAAGTATTATACTTAGCTTTATGAATATCAAAATGCAAATAGTTTTGGACCTGCTGAACAACTTTACTTAAGAACAATTTGGATATTTCCTTTGACCAAAGTCCTTAAAATATGCTCTGAATTTAACAGTAAGAAAATTAGCATTTGTAAGTTAGTATTGTTATGAAAAATGTAAATAACTCCACAAATATTAATCATACTTTCATGAAACTATTTAATAAAGTTTTTTTAAAATGTATATTAAAATAATTTATTTTTATAATATGATTTTATTAATATAAATTGTAATAATATTTTCTATTAATCGATAAAAGTTTTTGTTAAACTTTTGACTAAAGTTAGAAACCTCATCAGATGATGAAATTAAATTGATATCTGATAGAGTATTCTATAATACTAATTTGATCTCACCAGTTAAAAGATTTTTGATTATTTCATTTCCTCTGGTATTAGAAGTATCATCAGTCTTGAAAAATATTTGGGATGTATGAATAGATAGGTTAGCTTCGTTAAAGTATTAACAAAGGATCATAAAGTAAAATATGATTCATTTGAAATATCTGGATCCAAGGAACTTAATGAATGATATTATAATATAATAATATATTTGTATTTCCTCTAATTTGAACATATTCATTGGTAGTTCACTTTCCATTATCCAACAAATACAATAATGGATTTCAAGATAATGTTTAAATCCCTTTTTTGAACGCAAAATATGAATGAAGGCCACTTTACGTCAACCACCTACCGGTTAATCTTACATTCACTCATATTATGACTACAATACTTTATGATGCTAACAAAATATGGAGCATCGCAATGCTTAAAGATGGGTCATGTCAGTATTCTGTAACAACAAGCTCTCAGTGAATTACAAGAGGGAAAGTTCGAACCAAATCTAGAAGAAAATTAACATAATATTTGTTGTTTGATGTTTGCAGTTATTACCACCATGTTTTGTATGGCTGTATTCTTCTGCATATACTTCTTCACTTACAGGTGTAAAGCCAAAATAAGCATGATTATAAGATTCTTGATAACAGTTCCTCAATCTCATCAAAATCTTGTAAATATCATTTTCATAATATTGTTGAATCATGTCTTCATTATATTTTTACCCCATATTCAACATCATCATTTCATCATAAATGGATAAATCACTTGTTAAATATTACCTTTGAATCTTATTATTATTATTAAGATCTTGAAAATTAGTTAATTTTTATTCTTGTCATATTCTTGTAAATTATTATATCCTATAATTAAAATACTTCCTCATTTTTATCGTAAGCAGGAAGTTTATCATTAATCGATTCTTTTAAAGTAAAGTTTACATCATAATTAGGTAATTTAAAGGGTTCTTTTTCGTAATCAGTAATTTGAGCTCCTCGTCATAATCCTGTAATTTGAGCAAAGATTTTTTGAAATTGGGTAATTTAGAGCCCTTGTGATCCTGTAATTTATATGAAAGTATATTGTAATCAAGTCATTTAAGTTCATCATCCTGGAAATTAGATTAAGATTCTTCAAAACTGGTAATTTAAGCTGATTGATAACACTGGTAAGAGAATTGTATAACAACATAACCAATTCGACATAATAATCTATACTAGGCTGAGATAGATTATCAGTTGTTCCATCAAGTGTAATAGCAAATCAGCAAGATTGTCACAAGTCGTTCTGCTACCTTCTTGAGTATCAGTCAAAATATATCCATTTTTTTGTTTAGTGATCCAAAATTCATCGGATAAGATATAAGATGTGATTTCTATAAAATACTATCAAGATCTCAAGAAAACGATTTGAGAGTTAACTCTTGATAAATGATGAGATTCTTCACATAATGACTTTAGAAATAAATTTGCAATAGTCATTTCTTTTGAGAGTTTTAATATTTCTAAGCCAAATGTATATCGTATTTGAAATTATCTCCATAACATCGTGTCAAATCATAATCATCACTCTAATACAAGATAGTTAAACGATCTAATGTAATTGAAGGAGACTTATTCTTTTCAGCAAATTTAATCGAACGAAAATAGATTGTTGATCTGATCCGTATAAATTTTTCTAGACAAAATTTTCATCATCACTAATGAAATAATTTTAAAATTAATTAGGATTGCGTAGATACTGCCTAGAAAAAATTGAAAACTCTCATGAGAATAAATTCAAAAAACCACCCACCAAAAAATAATATAATCACTTTCTTTTAAAATTTGGGATATCTTAGAAGAAAGGAGTGATGAGAAATGTAAAAAAAATTTGATATCAAATATTACAAGATTTAGTTATACAAAGTGATATTTATTTTAAAAAAGGTATACAAAATTTTTAACGCAAAAATATTTTAAATTGGTTTATTATAAATACATAAATATAATTATTGTAAATTATTATTATTTTTAAATTCATACTCTTTGATTTTAACTCAAAATTTCTTATTTATTCTTTCTAATTCTAATTTGAGTTTGAATTCTTATTCCTTTTTTAACTTTTCTTTCTCCTATTTTAATTTTTCTTGTTCTATTTTTAACATGACTTCTCTTTCTAACTTCTTTTCATTTTATTTAATTTCAAGTTTTTTCTTTTCGAAATTCAACCTTTCTTGTTCAATTTTGATTGCCATTTTTTTGGATTAGTTAATTATTCCTAAAGCATCTAAATAAAGGCAATCACTTTTAGAAACCTTCTGTTTATTATGCTTTATAGATAGATTACTATCTACCTCACTTTCAATATCAGACTAATAAAAAAAATGAATTTATATGTATTAATTTTAAATCAGATCATTGTTATCGCAAGAAATATCATAATTAATTTATATCTTATCTACATTAATACTAGATAATAAATAACCAAACTAGACATTTTCTTTGTTTTCAAAATCTCATTCATTTCATTAAAATATGTCTAACAAGATCTGCCTTTTCCCATTTCTTCATGATTTTCTTCCTCAAATTTCATAATCAATAATTGAATTTTAGATCTTACTTATATACCTGTTTTTTTTATTTTCAATATTAATTGCATAACACAAAATTTTGATTTTTGTGTGCGTTATAAGTTAAAATTTTCTAAAAGGTATAATAATAATGATTTGATTTCAGAATCTGACCAATGTTGTGTTTCAGTTTCACTATCAGTCAGTTCTAATGATTGAATATCCAGTAGTGCATGCAATGCTTGTGAAAAGAAAGATTTGGTAATTATACCATTTACATTTTCGAATTTATAAGAATCAAAATCATTGGGAAAAGTATTATTGAAAATGTAATTTTTTGGTTTGCTCATTTTTCAGTTGCAAAAAACAAAGAACAAGTTTTGTATAATTTTATAACTGATTTTTACATCATTTATTACTTATCTCTTACTAATATCTTTTAGTTCATAAATTTTGCCATTGTTAATTATCAGTTGCAAAATCAAAGAGCAGTTTTATCACCGAACATAAGATTTGTCCTCAAATTGAGATTTAATTTTTTAATAGGAGATCGGCATGATCGATACAGTATAAAAATACGCTTTTTTATAAGAAAAAGCAAATAATGCGTTACTTTATTTCATTTTTTTATAAGAATGTAACAAAATAACCATCTCTATACAACTAAGAAAATATATACTAGAACAAATAATAAAATAAATACTGTAGCAGTCATAACCTTAAAACGATCTTTCTTCAAAGTGTTCAAATAAATAATATTATTTTTATGTTTTTATGATCTTTGAGAATGTTAGGAATGCCATACTGATACTATATAAATAGTGAGATGATTTTGATATATTGTAACCCAAATGATCTTTAGAAAATTAGAAATGTGACGCAGTAAAGTGATCTGCAAATGATCATCATGTGAATT